TATATAGGAAAGATCGGGCGTGCTTCCAAATCTGTGCTACGGGAATCTCTGATTAGTACCTAGTGAAACAGAATTGACTTTGATCTTCGGTGAGAGCTTGTGTGGACTATAGTTACGCTTTAATTAATAACGAAAGGTTTGAATTAAAACATTATACGACGTCGACTAGAGATAAGAGCCACTTTCAAGTTTACGTAGTGAAAATAGTCAGAACATCTTATCAGCGTCACATATTTTTGGCTGTTACGAGATCCATCACCTGGACGGTATCAAACGGTTGACGTAACGACGTGGCGTCTACCAGGTCCTATAAACGACGCCTGGTATTCGGCCGTTAATCATTAAAGTGGACCCTTGGAGCGAAGTTGTTGTTTCATGCTTGCTACGCAATAAAGACGGTCACTTAGTAGAAAAATACGCTTTATTGTGTGTAAAATACCTTTGTTCATAATTATATTACAGATACTCTGTTATATTACTCGCAGATAATACTTTAATAATAATAATATGAATCAGAGTAATAATTATCTTTATTAAATATTACTGTTAATAATACAAATAAAACTAGACAAACTACATTTGCGTTAATAATTAGCGTTTAGAGCAAAAAATTGAAATCTACTGCGCATATATATATATATATATATATATATATATATATATATATATAAATTATGTAATGATATATTAGATAACTTAATATCAATAATCACAAAAAAATATTCCTATGTTTTGGATTAAACTAGATTCCTCACAATCGGGATTCGAGCTCGGAACATGACAGGATTTGAGAGTAAATGTTATCGTGATCCGAGTGTACTCTGTACTTAATTATCATGGTCGTTATTACCCATTGACTAATCGTTAGATAGCTAATATTTTTGGTTTACTAAGCATGCTCAGAGAAAACTTGTTGCAAACGTATCTATATGTGTAACAAACGCTGTTGATTTCGATCTTCCTCCGTGCCCATTGATTCATCCTCAATTAGGAAATAGCAAAATCGCCCATTCCGCCCCACAGATCCTGATACCTAGAACGTTGGTCATCAGCCCGCAGCCTTTAGTAAGAAGGGTGCCTGAAGTAGCTGTCCAGTCGGAACATACCGGACGTTCACTTCATTTCTAGT